CCGATATTCCAGTGCCGTATGGCCGAACAGTTGTAAGAAAATATCCAACGCAATTCGAGCTGAATCTAAATAAAAGAAGAGACGTTCTTGTGGCCATTCTGGGTTCACATTGTTTTGGTAGAAGTCACAGGTGGGAGTATGTGAAAGCGTTACAGAAACATATAGAAATTGACGTATACGGCAATTGTGGACCTTTACATTCGTAAGTACATTCAATTTATGATTACATTTGACAGTAGATAAACTAGATATTATACTTATGGGTGCTAAACTATCCAACTGCAAGATGCTGCTACCACCCAATTCCTACATACATATTGATGACTTTGCCAGTCCTGCTGTATTGGCCCAGTACATCAAAAGGTTGAACGAGACAGGCGAATTTCGAGATTTCTTTCAATGGAAGAGAAACTTCGAAGTTCTTAACGAACATGGGTACTTTCAAAGCAAATCTTTTCATTACTGTCGGGTGTGCCAAGCTTTGAACTACAATGATAAAAAACAAAAAACATACAGAAATTTGAAAGACTTTTGGAGTCCACAGAGAGACTGCTATCCAGCTTGGGATGCGTGAAATCCTGCTGTAAACTACAAAATCTGGATGCGCTGACCGAAAGTAAAATGGATGTCAACTCAACTTGGTTTAAGTTTACAAAAAATGTATAAATATACCAAAATATGGCAATACCAACGATGCTGTTCAGAAGAAACTAGATTTTGGTTAAATCAGTTTTATATTTTTGTGAAATTACAATAAAACTAGTCTGACATTGATTATATTGTTGAATTGGATGAAACAATTTGACCGCATAAACCCCGCTTTCACAACTACCGAAACATTGCGGAAACTCCACCTATTAACACAGGTACAAAAAACACTATCTACAAACACCTCCTTATATTTGAGAAACAAACTGAGATTTGTAAATGTCAACAATGTAGCAAGGAGAAACCTACATATTCTAGTAGTTCCATAACATACTATTTTTAAGCGAAGGTTTTGTTAATATTTGTGCATGATTCAATTATTTCAGTACTTGCATATTTCACTGCATAATCATACTCTTTTATTTGTAGGGTAATATGCAATACTTCTAAACAAATATTTTTTTTTTCTCCTTCATGTTGAAAACACTGAAGAATGACACTTTACCCTTTCATTTGTTGCAATGAATAAAGTAATTTTTGATTAATATTATTATTACTGTGTTCAGTTACAATGACTTTATAATTGCCAAAAGAAACATCATAACAATATCTAAATTACACAGTAAACTCAAAATTACATTGATGTATAAGCAAAAATCGAATTCAGTATATAAAATTTTGTCTCTGAATGGTTCTAAAATGTATGCAAGACAAACTTCTAGTCCCTTCAGTAGTCACATTATTTCACATAAAAGCGACTGTAGATGAGGTGTTAATTCTTGCACGTCAACTGAATATGTCATCATGGAAGATCATAGAATAGACTTCGAAAATCCACAAATTTTAAGTAGAGGTGGCTAATATTCTTAAAAAAGGTCCATATTAATAATGAAATGCATTCCATAAGTAAACAAACAGATTCAAATAACCTCAGATCAACAATGGTTACTTCAGAGTCCATTTCTGCACCTTTTTATAATTCTGCACAACTGCTTGCCTTTTCATTAAAAATTTTCTCTTGGATTACCCATTTTTATGCTGAATCGAAGTGGGATTTCTTTCAAAAGGTCAATTTCTCAAAGCGAAGTAAAAACATTTACTTTCATGACAATTTTGCTGCCTCCCAAAATTTCCAATTATCGAATCAGTTTCAACCAAATTGTTTTACAAGACAGAAAAAATGCTCGTTTTGGTGCAATTACATATTTGAATATGATTTTTAATTCTGATCATCTTCAATAACAATTGTTGATATTGTCATTTGAAATTAACACTTATTCTGATGATTAGATTACCTATATCTAAGGTGTTGGTCACGAAGTTGATTATGCTTCTAAAAGTTGTGAACAAAAACTATAGACAGAACTATATCATAATTATAATTATCCTTAGACTACTACTGATATTTTTAATGAAAATAAGATTATATATGAGTCATAGTTTTTTAACATTTTTGGTGAAAATCTCCACGAAGGTGTATAAAAAAAACTGATTTTCTCCACAAAAAATGACTTTTCTTCAAGATATTTATCAGATAATCACACATCATATTATTATGTGCAATGTAATTTCAATAAGGAAAGTATTGAAGTCTTAATTCCACTAAAACCAAATTTGATAATCGAACAATAATGAAGTCTTCCAGTGATTCTCCAAGAATGAACAGATACCTAAACATGAAATTCTTCGGTTCTTTAGATCACAGATCCGATCACTGGTCATACAAAACAAATCTTATATGCACTCACCTATATCACACGGTCTTTAGTTTTTAGAGCACCCTCACAAAGCTCACTTTTCCAGTCCTCGCGATAGTAAAATCGCGTCGAATCGAACAAAAAAATCGAAAAACGAAAAATAAATAATCTAAATATCCTATAAAAATAAAATTAAAATACTGTCAAATAATCAAAATAAAATGAAGATAGCTGCATCTTCTTCTCAACGGCTTTCGCGATCGCTGCAAAACATTTAGGATGGGAATTTTTGTTTAACCATTTGAAAACGATAAGAAAATTTCATTTTCCGAACATAAAATTAGTTTTTATTAACCATGTAACTGATGGAAGGGTAAAATAAGAAGCCTCGTTCATAATGGGAATAAGGATACATACTCGTGCATGTAGATGAGATCCCATATATGGACAAGGTATTCCACAAACACAAAATACCTAAAGGTAAAATTTCTAGAATCGAATTAAATTCGTATTAAATATAACTGACACATCATACAACTTTTATTTTAAAAGTTGCTATAATGTAAATCAATGGGAGCGTTCATACACCATACTTATGTGAGTGCCTGAATAAAATAAAAGTTTGGTGTATGGTCCAGCCATAAAAAGTAAATTCAGAACTTTTTTGTGGTTATTCAAATATATTTTATTTGTTGGTACAATTGTTATAGTGGTACTTGGCAGTATCCATTTCAGTCTGAAAGCTTAAAGGCCCTAAGCCACTGAAGTAGAGTGCTTAACTTCAAGCGGGCTTAAAAGTGATTTTCGTTACGTTGTATATACAATTTACGAATCAAGCGAGCTTAAGGTCTGAGCTAAGAATAATACTATAGGGAAAAAAGCTTCATAGGTATGTTTCCTGCTATAATCAACATTTTTGTAACTGAATTATTCCAATCATGTTCATTCCAATCAGTTGACTGATCTTCAAGTAGATCAGGTGCAGACTGTGGTATTCAGGTAATCTACTTGATGATGTCAGCATGGGCCTGCTGCTGAATGAACGAGAAACATCTACGACACTAGTCTCCGAAAGGTCTCTTGCATAAATGTCTGTCCAATATGATTCAATATTCAGCCTTATATTATCCGGGAAAGTAGTTGTTTTCCGCCAGCGTTTACTAAAGCCTACTGTATAGTTAGTTGAGAGAGATTAATGTTTCGAAGTTCATTTCGAAATATTTATTTTTTTATACGTATATATCTCTCCTCGATAGTTTTCATTTTTGATTTATGGAACTTCTAGGCTTCTCAGAACCAGAACCTGGAGTTTTTTCCCAACACCAAACCGTTACCGACACCTCTTGAAGATGATCACTTGGTGATCGAAACACGTCTCGAAGTGTTGAAATAACGGGTTGGTGTTGGGAAAAAAACTCCAGTAATATTCATTACCACACCAAAGGTTCCAAACAGTGCATCACAAATCAGTTATTTTTATTTTTTTCTGAAGCCGAAAATACAAGTGAAACGCCCGCAAAATTTTGAAATGTTCAAGCAAATCGTGCCCAGCAAGCTCTATGAACAGAGATGAAGAAGAAGAAACTTATGTGAATTTCAAATAGAAGGGATCTAATATTTGAGGTACTGAAGTACTGACGCCCGACAATAATTCAATATTGTCAATTTTGGTCTGCGGAAGCAGAAAATCCTTTATCATAAATACAAAATAGAAATTGAATTAGGTGAAAAGAAACAAAAATCGTAGACTTTCTTAGTACAATGGCATGTTAATGAATGGGAGCATTCATACTATACACCATATTCAAGTTTAATGTACGATTCAGCTATAGAAACAATTAAATGAGAACGACCAAACTTGGACTTTTTTCTCGAGATCTTTAGGTGTTTCTTGAAAGTTCTATGTTTTTCTAACAGCTTTCTATAGCTTCTAACCAAGTTTTCAGCCATAAGTTTTATTTCTCAAATAAAAGTTGTGATGTGTATATATATATATATATATATATATATTCATTCTATTCAAGTATTCTATATAAGTATAGAAATCTTGTATTGAATCATAGAATCATCACCCATTCTACTTCTTGACTGAAGAAAGCCATATTTACTCAAAACATGTAAAAGAGAATAAATTTAATATTTTTTCTCTCTCTATAAAAGAAATGGTAAATTACTATATACCTTTGGTTCTAAAGATACCCCTATACATAGATTTTTCGCTTTTTTTCTGGGTCTTGCTTGATTATGAAGAACTATAGAAACTAGGCTAATCTTTTACATCAGAAAAAATACTCAAATTAATTATTCTAGGAATCTTATTCCTCGAAAAATGATGCATTATGAATAGTTTGGAGGAGCACATTACAAGCTAGATTCTGGTTTCAATTCATAAAATAAATTCAATTATGAAAGGTTGAGTACACTCATTTTAAAAATACAATATGAATTTATATGGTCCTTCAGTAAACCTTGAAAACACCTTTACATTCTTATTAATATTAATTGAAGATTATTGTATTTCTAAAGGTAGTATGTTTTTGATGCAACTCAAGTAGGTCTATTTCCTTTATTGCAGTAGATTTACACTACATCTTGTTTTTAAGGAATCCACATTTTTTAGAAAAAAATTTTAAGAGATTGAATAATCATAGAAACGACTATTGAATTCAAGTGTTTAATAAAAAGAACAGTCTCAAAAGTTGCAAGTTATAAGAAAGAATATGTGCATATTTCAATCCATCTTTTCTTTAAGAACAATCTGAATGTGACTGTTATGACGCATATAAGGAGTTATTTTCCCATGAGCTCTGTAGGTTCTTCTAGTGGAAGTAGGAGCTTGGTTAACTTGAATGTGATGAATCAAAAATTCTGATGGATCTTTACCAAGATATTCACAACTGGCTGATGCATTTCGCAACAGATCTATCATACACTTTGCGCTATTCTTAGGCCAGCGTCCCTAAAAAATAATTATAGTGCCTTAAACAAGTAGATAAATATTGATCAATGTCATACATTTACGATTTTGAACTGCTTTGCCTGGGAACATTTCCCCACTCCACTTTTGAATTTTCTAAAAGGAACACACTCTTTGTGAGCAAGAACATTTTTTAAATATGAGTTCGCTCTTGGGACAGTCATATAACGGATCGCAGCAGCCACCTCAACAAGATTTTTGAATTTTACTGGTATATTGGAAGCTTTGGCTTTCACCAATTCCGAGTCAGCTTCAAATCCATGTTTTTGAGAGTAATGGTGAGATACTCCGTTTTTCACCATCTTGAAAGAATAAAACGAACCAAGTATTATTTACCTACTAGTATGATAATTTTATCTTACCTTTGATATCCAAAATATTAGAAGAGCGGGAAAGTAGACAGCAACTAGCTTCTATGACTAAAGTGGATGGTGTTCTATTTAATGACATATGACATGACAAATTCCGTTTTATCAAGCCTACTGAACGTTTGACCTACTGGCTAAGAACGTATTTTCATGGGCATCAACTATTGTACTGCTGCAAGTGATTCGCAGTGAAATATTTCTACTTTGCCATCCTGAATATTTAAGTTTCAACTTGAACACCAAAATGAAATAATGAAAATTTCTTATATTTTTTTAGGTCATTAGATATTCGAAAATTTGGAAATAATCTGTGGTTTAATTACAACCCAATAACATCTCCTTTGGACTCATTTTGAACGATTCCGATACTGAGATGATAATTTTAATTCATGCTTTATGATTTCTCTCCCAGTTGCTACTTTTCATTCCATATTTCATTCGACAACTTGAGAATGGTATGGTGAGTGAATTTGAAATATTTTGTCGAATTCATCACAATATTCAGTAAAGTGAAATTTATCAATATTTTCAATGTTATCTAGGATGTTTCTTTAGTTTAGGTAATCTTGGCTTTGCCGCCAATATCTGTTTGACATGAAAAATCATTAGTGAGAAGAGTATTTTACGCTGTGAAAGCAATCATCTAAAGAGCGGGAAAACCACAAAGAAGGCGACATCTAAATCTAATAATTTGAATTTCAAACTCGGGAAAACCTTTTTTGTCAACATAAGAATCTATGATCAATAATTATTCATTTATTGTAATATTAATTAACAGAAACTCAAATATGTAAAATGAAGAAAAGAGAATTCAAACTATCTATGTTTTTTACCAATTTTATTTGTAACTAACGTTGGAAAATTTCAATTCTCTTTTCTTTATTATGATTACCTACCACGTAGTAACGGCTACATCTATCAAAGTACGTAAAAGTTAGCTCATCAAGAGACGAGTAAATTTGGAAAATTTTGTTCAGGGGGGTAGTGTTTATAAATAAGTCAGATGTAGCAGAGGATTGCAAAAATAAATCATAATCGGTAATGATGAAATGATCTGGCTCGTGAGTACATGAAATATTTCAATTTATGTGTAAGCCAGAGAACTTGTACATTGTATCTTATTGAGTTTGCAAGTTCGGCAGTATTAGCAAACATATATGTTTTTCCAGTCAATTTTGCATTAATTAACTTTGATTTTGCGAGTTTATGCAAATTTGATCTTGATATATGGAGCATGCGCCTATACAAAAGTTAGGGAATCCCTGATTTTATCAAAATTTCAAAGCATTTTCCGATGATGAAACCAATGCATTATTGATATATTTCTATCCTTCATTATCCTTTCATTATTGTATTAAGAAATTGAGAATAGAGATACCTATAGTGGGCTACCGAGTTTACCAATGAAAAAAGCAAATACAAAAATTAAATATTGAGAGGCAACCATCGACATAACTTTAATGGGTGATTGCAGCAAAAAGCCCAGAAAGAAATGCTATACATTTACAAATAAAGTTAAGTTCAAATAAATATTGTACTGAAAGATGTATTGAGAGGACTAGCGGCCTACTACGCTAGTAATCAGGCTGGACGTTGACGAGATTTTCAATTCAATAAGTTTTATTTTTATTCGAAGGCCTCCCGAGAAGGAGGTAACCAGTAAAAATTGAAGTGTTTTTTATTAAAAAGTCAATGAAAAAACTCAGGGTGGCAGCATTGTCTTGAGCAAGACAGCTTCTGTTCACTATGGACATAAGAAGTCTGGCCAAATGCGCTCGAATGAGAAGCAATTGGCTATAAAGATTAGAAAGAGAGAGAATTCTTTTTGGAATTTGGTGATTTTTATTTATAGATATTTGGTAAAGTGTGACAGTGACATTATTATTATTGACATTTGTAAATTGTAAATGCAAGGGATAAGGGATCAAACTTTTAACGTTATATCCAGCGAATGATAGAAGAATTTTTACGAAGAGGAAAACAGGTGAAACTTCATTTTTTTTATTAAAGATAATTATTTGACATTAAATATAATTTTTTTCCTAACGTTAAGATTTGGTTCAGAGTCCTCAATTTGTTAAATTAAGATCTAAACTTTCAAACTGGCATATCATTATCAGTGAAGAAAATATTTAAGAAAAGTTGGACATCATCTTCATGAAAAGTAATGTAAAGATGTTTTGTCCTCATACAATTTCATTACAGAAAGTGTAAAGAAGCTGGATTTTTACCCCAGTTTCATATTGTAGGAATTCATGTTGGACAATTTTATGACTTCAAACAAGTGTCAACCGTCCTTAAAAGACAAGCCTGAGCATGAGTAAGCTCGGTTATCTCTTGATTTCTTTCTCGGTGGTTGATGTCAAAGTGATCCTAGTTTCCGAGAAGTCAACTTTTTCATTTTGGGATAAAAGGCATATTGCTATTGAACAAGTTTTCAATGCACCCAGCGGGTTTATGTACCTTAATACCTACTTGGTTACTGTCAACCCAAACCGAAGTTTTCTCCAGATCTTTATTAAGATATAATAATTTCCTATATCAGCTAAGATATGCTTTGACAGTTAATGTTTTGGTGCCTAAATGAAACAAATGTGAAACGAAGCTATCTATTGAGTTTTTGGACAAAGCCTAATTTCATAAAATAATCATTTATATGAGTGAATAACATATTGAAGATTCTACTAAAAATTATTTCCAATTGTTTGTGCTTGTTTTCTAATCAACATTCTTTCAGTGCAAGAACCGGTAGCATCCATCATGCTGAAGCCTAAAGCACTAACGCAGGTTCTAAGCCAGGCAAATACTGGTGGTGTGGAAACAACTTTGTAAGGTACTGAATGGAAGTTATGACATCATTAAATGATACATTTTCAGACTGCTCAATACAGAAGGATCTCTGTTGGCTTATAGCGGATACGGAGACAAGGATGCAAGAGTAACAGCAGCTATAGCAAGTAATATTTGGGGTGCTTATGAAAAAAATGGCCGCAATGCTTTTCGAGAAGATCACCCCCAAATTATCCTGATGGAGTGCCTGGAAGGACGCATTGCCATAACACAAGTTGCAAATGTTTTACTCTGTTTGTATGCTAGAAATGCTACTGGTTTTGGAATGCTTAAACGGAAAGCAAGTGCATTGGCTTTGTATTTGGAAGGTCCTTTAAAACAGGTGGCTTCTTCAGATAGATGAGATATATCCATATCGATTGTGAAGTTGAACAATAGTGCTTAAGTTCAATCTTCTTTTAGGTACAAAGGTGATATTTCTTTATTATGGATATTTGTGTGATAAAATTCAAATATTTATTACTGAATCTGGAGTTTTGAATATTTTGAAGTAATATATTGATTTAGTGTACTTTCATGTTTTTTGGGTTTCTAACCTTCAATAATCCGAAAAATAAATATAGATCACCAGATAATCTGTTCTGTTGAAAGGGCAGATTGAAAGAATACAATCTTGAAAACGATATATTTTCACAAACGCAATAATTAGACACTTAAGTGTCATTTCCTGACATTCAGTATACAGATCGATTGTCAATAGAAAATAAATATCAGATGTTTTGAATGTGAGGTACACAATTTTCAATGCATGTCTTTATTGTAAACAAATTCTCTGTATCAATATAATTACCAATGAGAATCCGAAAGATAAAATCATATAAAATTCAGAGTTTCATTATTGCTTGAGGTTGTTTTTAGTTTATTTTGTTGATATGAGCAATTGGAATCTTTGGGAGTAACTTCTAATTATTATATGCAAGCGCTTTCGATAGAAGGCTGTGCTGTCATCGTTATGGTTCTACTCAAACTGAACATTTTATCTTCTTGTTTGTTCTTTTATATGGTTAGAACGCCTTAGTGCAGGTATTTGTCTTCTCCTTTCATCCGGATGTCTTTAAATTTGCCTGGACTTGGGTTACATCAGGTAATATCCTTTGTGCTGGCGTTTCTTTAGGTTCATTGTTTCTAGGAATGTGTATTGTATTGCATATTATATTGAATGTTAGGTCTTGTGTATTGATTTGGTCAATCCAAGACACGAGTTTTCAATTAATATAATTTCGAGCGGTTCAAATCCAATGTACATGAAAAAGGTTGAAATGATAAGTTTAAAATGCGTTGTTTTAGAGCTTTTTTATGAAAACTACTTTATTTTTGTCAGGAGGAACATTCCCCATTTGCTACCTGGAGCATCTTCACTTGTAATTTTTCAACAGTTTGTACATAACTTTAAAATTCTGCTGATATGACTTTTAAATGAAAGGAAATGTACCAGAGAAACGAAACATTTTGAAGTAATTTTTATTACATTCAGAAAAGAGATATTTCCTTATTAAGAAATAATGGCTTTATAAAAAAATTGAGAACAATAAGTATGCCTTAAATAAATTGCACAAATATCTTTTTCTTGTAATAACGTATATTCTGATCTCCCTGAAGAATAAAGAGATTATTTCCATTTACAGAATTAAGTGTTGTGTATTTCATTATATTTTTGCAAATAGAGCTGGAACAGTGATATGCAGAAGTTACGGTGAAAATGGAAAATTGAGAAACAAAACAGGTGTTCCAATTGAGAATGACAATAATTCAACAGTATGTAAATCTTTGAAGTAACAAAAGTTTATACCTTTCAAATATTATCAGAAAAGATAGCATGGAAAGCAAGCAAAAAAAATTAATATTCATATTTAGAGTTTTGTCATGATTTTTCTTTTCTGAAGAATAAATATTTAAAAAATGTTAAAAACAAAATAGGTTTGTATCAATTCTAAGGAGCAGTCATTACAAGAGACAGTCTAAAAATGAAGAGGTAACTAGTCTTATGTTTTAGCAAAATATCTTTAAATATCATCGTTTCAACAAAAACCTTTATAAAAAAAACTTTGATGAAATTCAGGAATAAAAAATTACTGTACACATAATATAAGTCAAGCAAAACAAGAAAACAAGGTCAGAGATCATCACAGAGAGAGGTTTTGAAGTCCAAAGTAAGTTAAATGCCAGAGCGAGAAGCTACTAAGTTCAATTATTGCTTGTATTCAAACTATTGCACCCTTTTTCATATGTCTTTCATTTTCACAAGTTTGAGTGGTGTCCATAATTGTGTAAATAAAAGTTATAATTTCAAAGTGTAGAATCAGGCAGTACTCAGCATTAGACTTCAATTACAACACAAATCTGAGAAAATGTCTGCCCTGATTCATTCTTCGCTTGATCTAAAATTCTACATTTTTACATTCTAGAACCTTTCTGCTGAAGAACCTTAGCTCTATCTTCTCTTTCACCTCGGACTTCTGTACTTTCAGGAGCTCCATATTCTCGACTTACAACACACAAGAATTCTGCATGTTCATCAGCGCCATAGTTATATTGGGATCCAATATTTACTAACTGCTCAAATTTCCAACCATCAGACATGGTAGATACCATCTGTGAAAACGAGAAAATTTCAAAAATTTAAATGGTACTTAATGCAAAACAGTGAAAACATACTATATCATCAATTTCTTATTTGAAAATATATTTATTTATTCATCATTTAAAGTATATATTATAATGTTAAATTATAATTTATTGAAGATGTGGAACTTATAATGGACAATAACACTTCCAAAATACAAATCATGAAATTATAAAACAATCATTTAATTATAATTAAAATGAAATCTGATATCATACTGAATTAAAAGTTGCAACTAAGAATAGCTTGAAAGGGTTAAATTTAAAGTTTAAAATGGGTTAATTTAAGAGTATAAAACGACAACAATGAGCGACAATAAAACATATTCCACATATAAAACCTTAAACTATACACTAAAACATTAAAGCACAGTATTCCGTATCTGAGTTTTAAAATGATGCAAGGAGATGTTAAACATCTCAAGATCAACTTTACTATTGGCTAATCGAGATTTTTGGAATGCAGCTATTGAATGTGTGGTTCAAACAATAAAATGGTATACATGAAAGGTTTGTTGCTGTCGATTTGAGCGGTATTGAACTGGTAGATACATTTTTTTCTAGGAGTTCAGCAGAACTGAATTTTCCGTTAATAATACTGAAAAGTGGTGTCAGGTCTCTCTGTTTCCTCCTAGTTTCCAGGGAGGTCGTGCTCATAGATTGCAGTAGCAACTCATATTCGCAACGAACACCAGATTTATATGCTATGTATCTGAGCAAGTTCTGTTGGACATTTTCGATGCTCTTAATATGAGTTACACAATGAGAACAGACAGAAGAACAACACTCCAGGTGTGGACGGACCAGTGAACAATAAAGGGCTTTAAGAGCAGTTGGGTCAGTGAATTGGTGGGTTAGCTGTTTGATAAACCTTAGCATTTTCATGGCTTTATGAATAGCCGTGGGTATATGTAGGTCGATTGAAGCTTAAGGGGGATCAAGAACAACCTCAAGGTCTTTTATTTGATCAACAGACTCCAAGACATGATCATTTAAAGTATAATCAAAAGTGGTAGAAGGTACATGGAATCATTAAAAGCGCATGACATGGCATTTTGTGGCATTCAAGTCCATGCCATTTAAGGAGCACCAGTTTGATAGATTGTCAAGGTCAGCCTATGGGCATCCAATGAGGTGTCAATAATCAGGAAAAGTTTTAAATCATCTGCAAATAATAGTCCTTTGGCGTGCCGAAAGCAATGAATAATGTTGTTAATGAATAAAATGAATCATAAGGGACCGAGGTGTGACCCCTGAGGAATACCAGCGGTTACTTCCAATAACGTGGAGTAGTGATAATTTGCTCTAACCATTTGAGTCCTATTTGTAAGATAACTATTAATCCATTCCAGTAGTACCCCACCTACACCATATCTGTTGAGCTTTTGGAGTAAGAGGTTATGGGTAACCCTGTCAAATCCCTTAGAGTAGTCAGTGTACACAGAATCAATCTGGCAGCCCTTCTCCAAAGTTTCCGATAGGAAGTGGGAATAGGTAACCAAGTATAATTCTGTCGATTTTCCTTCAGTTCAATAATGATGCCAGAGCAATCATGGGTAAGGTAATCTGCCAGAATATTCTCGAATATCTTGGGAATTGTACTGAGAATAGACATCGGTCGGTAATTATTAACGTACGACTTAGTACCCGATTTGTATATTGGGGTGACATAAGATTGTTTCCAATAATCTGGAAACACGCCTGATTGGATGGATTTTTCGAAAATATGGAAGAGAGGGTAAGACAAATAGAAGCTGCAATATCTGAGTACAATGGGTGGAGTAATTGGCAGGACCTGGACCTTTCTTTATATCAAGATTAGATAATTTCTCATAAATGGTTGAAATTGAAATGTTGTTAAGTTTTGATTCAATGTCAAAATCATCCAAATTAGGATTTAGATTCTGAGTTGTGTAAACTGATGCAAAATGCTTGGCAAACAGATCGGAAACTTGACTACCACAGGAGGCGAAAGAGTTGCCAAGATTCATATTGTTTGGTAAGGTGTTAGTGGATCTTTTAGTTCTAACAAAGTTCCAGAAGCTTTCAACATTAGTTTTAACCGAATCAATGTAATTTAAGTAGCATTGTGATCTCAACTGACTAAATATTTCATATTTTTGGGGAGTTCTGTTTTGTTTATTAGAATCTGATTATAAAATTTTGAAAATGCAAATTTTTGATAATAATATTTTTTGACTTATTAGAATTACAGAAAATAACTAGATATATTCCAGAAGTTTTGAAAACCTCCTCAAGATAATATCATCTACACACTACACGACAACTACAAACGGACTCTTCAAGGAACTCCTCCGACTTGCAATAAGAGTAATGCAGGTCGATTCAAAACACAGTACGGGAGCTACAACGGTCCTCTCATACAAGAAGCCTAGATGTAGAGAGGAAGAACATCGGATCAGAAAAAACCAGATGGGATTAATTTACAACAGAAACTCAGACATCCCAAGAAAATTCATTATTATCTGAAAAGGATTAAATACACTGCCGTTGAGAAACTTTTGCATGGACTTGGCGGCAGTCCAACTAAAGATAATTGGTGACGGAGGACCTGTAGAAATCGTCATGTGAATGAGCTAGCGAGAGTCTGTAGAGTAGACAGATTACAGCTCATATTTGGCTGTGATGCCAATGCGCACCACCTGACTGTGCAGGTACTGACAAACAAAAGAGGTGAGCATTTCCTACAGTTTACTAGAGCCAACAATTTGGACATTTTAAACATAGGCAATAAACCATCTTTCATTAACACAAAACGTAGGGAATTTTATGCTCAACATTAGGTGTTGCATTTATAAGTAACTATGCTGAGAACTAGAATGTGTCTGATGAGGAAAGATGTTCATATCATCGGCAAGTAAACTTTGAAATTGGATGGTTTCATACTTCAACTAGGTACATTGTATCAAAACCCCCTGGAAAACTAGGAAGTCTATAAGATAGTCTTGTAAACTTGTTTAGACTGGATGAATTTTGCAGTAGGAGATTCTACAGGTTTGGAGTTGACAGCAGATCAATTTTGAGAACTATTATTTCTATGTATAGCAGGCATTATCCTATCAAAAACCAGAGATCATCTATTTCAATCTTTCAGTAAGCAGTGCCAGGACTCTCAGATATCTCAGGTAAAGAACAAGGTGCCAAAATGGATCATCAACTTCATATATAGGCCCCGAACCAGCTGTGGGGGTACCAAATTCTTTGGTGTGGAACCATATTGGAAATTGACTCTATGAGCAACACAAAGAGTACTAAGAAAACATACCTGGGGACACGAATGGGACCACATGAAAAAAGAACTGTTTCAACAAAGCATTGGCTTAGAAAAGTTACAGGGCTACTCAATGGATACTGTTCATTGAGAGGACACCTGAACAAAAAGGGCTGAAAAAAGGGGAACTTAACTGCAACAATGGGACAGATACAGCTCTTCATATTTTATTTGACTGTGAGGCACTCAACTCCAGGAGGAAACCGATTTATGGACAACTCATATTGTATCCAAACTTTTACAGGAATTTAGATTTTTTGAATGAGTGTCATTAAAAAGATAAGAGAAAAATGCAACTGCAGTGTTTTTTGGAGAATTGGAAGTGGACAAAACAGACAGCTCCAAAGTATTTCACTTGTTTATAATCACACGAAAATGATCTTTATCAGCAGGAGTAAGTTTACGAACATAATCATGACAATATATTTGAAAAGGGAAGACTTTTTTGGAAGAAAACATTTTTGTGAAATTTAAGGGGATAAAAAAGTGAGTACCTGTGTTAGCTCGTCTTCATGACACTGTAGAACCCTGTACACATGCTTCTTGCCATCTTTGCCTGGTCTACTGTCTCTATGCATAATTCGTTCTTTTACTAATGTTATGAGTTCAGCAATATTATAAAATTCAGCCTCTTCCAGAACACCTTCTTCTGCTAAACCTTTATTAATTACCAGCTTACCATGCCTAAGGTAGTTTAACACAGGTGAGAAATAGTTTGGGTCTCTATCTATTAAATAAGCTCCAGTTTCATCCTGTGGAAATATCAATGCATACTATTACTTACATGATTCACATAATGACAAATCTAAAGGAAATGAGTCCTTACTTTATCTGATATTAAATCACTATCTTCTTGAATCAGTCTATACAAGAATGAATTAGGGTCTCTCGCCAAAGTTGTTTTAGTGGTGGAAAAATATGTACCGCCAACATTTAACTTCACCCACTGTTTATTTGAATTCATTGAAATAGTTTGTTTATTGTCATCGGTGATCATGACGTGATCCGCCATGTTTACTATTTCAATTTTCAGGCTATTTTTTCACGAGTAGCTTTTTTGACTAGATGTGACTAGAGACAACAGCTGTCTCTTACATACCACTTGAAGTCGATCATTTGTCACATCACAATCCACCATTTCTATGAAGATACACAAGCATACACCGTAAGATCTAAGTCTATTCGAAAGTGGAGAATTACATTGAATGAACATCACTATAGATTATATTCAACTGAAAAACGATTTTGGGAAATGTGTTTCAGAAAACGGAAAACGACCTAATATACTTTTCCACTTGAAAATAATAATCGGTCATAGAAAACAGAAACGGTTCAAAAATTATTGAAACACGTTACAAGATCGTTTTACTATCTATAATAGAGACTGAACAAATTGTGAAAATTGTTTAAATATTATCGTAGATAGTGTTATTAATTTTCGTCAAGTAGCGGGTCGGTCCATTCATAAGTTCATTTTCGTTTTGAATTATTTCGAATGAATTTGATGAGTGGGATTGAAGTATCTGGTGTAAAATGAATCTAATGACATGCTTTTTCCAGAGACCAGAGCTGAACACTTGACGCGCAAGTATAGTAACTACAGTGAGTGTAGTCCATTCCCTGACACTAAGTTGATTGGTGAGTACGATATTAAAAACGAAGGAGAAAATAAAAAATAACAGACACCAGTAATAATCATAGGATCTATGAGCTATGGATGAAAAAACAAAATGTTCGACGTAGGTGAACATCGATCGACATACAAATGGAATCGAAGCAACGATCACATAGCAGTTCCTTGAATGATCAAAATAAACCACTCACGTCAATTTGCGAGCTATCGTCTGAATATTAGCCTAATAAAAGTACACGCCAAAGACAAAATATATTATGAACAACTGGAAAGTACCCTTCGATAATGACATAGTGGTTGTTACAAAAAGACTTTTCCCCATCGTGTGATGAACCTTTTCACTGATATTGATTCATTAAATCCATATAGGTTAACTTCGTTTCATATTTTTTACAATTTTTTGACAGAAGTTTTTCAAAATGGAATAAAAATGATGGTCGTGACGTCACTAATGTTTGATATGAACTTTGCAACACCGTAAAACTTATTCATATTGTATAATTTGATTTGCTTCGTCTTCCTGTAGCCTAGACAAAATAAACACCCCCGTTTACATTGATTTCCAACAAGCTAGATTTTTGTACCTTCAATTCGTTATTATAAATAATGTATTCAAGGTACTGAGGCATAACTGAGTAGTTCATCATGACTTGCCAGAATGGTGTCATTAACACCTTAGTCTACCACAGTCGGGTGGTTAGTATATACGTATCTGATATAAGGTGTAGGGCCTGCCGCGAGGCACCTGAGACCCTAATGCACTTGCATGTCCAGCACATGCGGTCTGAGCCTAAATGGGCTTTATTACCATTTTTACGGTATTGACGAGACACCGATCGTGTTGCTTGCTCCGGAGAATATTGAATCCGTTATGAGGAATGAGAGGTGTTCATTTTATTGGACCCATTCATTCCTCACTCTCAGTCTCATGCAAGCTAATAAGGTTGATGTAGTTCTTCTCGACCATCAGAGCAAGACGATATTTGTCGTGGAGTTTTCCGCATCTGACGAGACAAATATCATTTTAAATGAGAAAAAAAACCGGATAAAATATCGAGGTTGTCTCTTAGAACTCCACATACTCTATCCAGTTCACTCTGTCAATATGGTTGTTTTGATTATTGGCAGAAACCTTACAGAAGGCTGGTATTCTTTGCCCACTGCGCTTATCCTTAGGGCACATGATATTGGGATCCGATGATCACTTTCCCCATGGTATGGGAAGTATTCATTGGTTGATAATGCTGACGCTTCATTCGAATGTATCTGGGCTTCGAGTATAGGGCCCGACTAGCGCAACATTAAGGGAAAATATCAATAATAATATTGATGATTATGTTAGATAAATATCGTCCGAAAAAAGAAGGCTTCATCCAAACTACTTTTTCAAGATGGTTGTTCTGATTACTTGAGATCTTGGTGGGACGATGGCATCTCTACTCTCGAAGTTCATGATCATGCAGGCTTGCCGCACTAAGGCAGAACTCTTGGACGTATAAATGCAGAAGGCTATCAATCTTGACTCGTTGCGTCTTCTTAGGCCAGGTGAGCCAATGATCCCTCACCTTACGTTGTGGAGAGTGGTCAGTGGTTGATGATGCTGGCGTGCCCTTCCGAATGTATCGCGGCGTGATTTCGGCTTGTGGTGAAAGTAACCAGGTTCAATTCAATGTCACAAAAACCCAGGCATCGCTTTTCTCCCAAAGAAATGAATGTCTCCCAACCCGATCACAATCATGTCGCTGGAATTGTAAAGGCTGCTTCTCAAAAGCTTGGAACATTGTTCCGAACCAGTAAACTGTACTTTATGTAGCTTTATGAAGCTCAGATCAGATTTCCCTGGAATATTGTTCTCGTGTATGGAGCTAAGCATACCCTGAAGCTGCTGGATTCCATCTAGAAAAGAGCTATCCACCTGATTGAGACGCGAACACCACTTGCAACCTTGATAATGTAGAACATTGAAGACAGGTTGGAGATTTGTCTCTCTTCTGTAGATACCTCCACGGGAAGTGTTCAAGTGACTTGGCACATTTAATTCCACCAAGAGCGGCACATATCAGAAATATGCGACGGACTGTGGCTGCTCATGGTTTTGAGGTTCGAGTCAGTACACCTCGAACTTCACTGTTTAAGAACTCTTTCATTTGGAAAAGTACAGAACTGCGCTTATGTGGAATGAACTTCCTGAACATATTTTTCCAAATGGGTTCGATCTCCAACGATTCAAATCCAATGTGAATCGCTGCTTTCGCACAGACACCGCTCTTAGAGCGCTTTGAAGATTTTTCTGTAGTACTTGTGTTTTGCCTTTAAAAAAAGTGAAGTATCGTCCAAGTGACATTTTCTATTTTGTTACAGTGAATTGAAGGGCAGATTCCGGAAATCTTGACTGATATGTACTTAATATATGGTTGAATTTAAGCTAGAACCTGCCATTCATATGTTTCACAGAAGAAAACTTTTATTCAAATGTGAAATGTGATCAAGGATGTCTCATGTTCCATTAGCATGTTCTCAGGTTCTCATTAGCAATTAGAACCACTATTGAAAAAATAAAGAGAGCTGTAGATTTGTATATTTATTAGTAACTCACAAACATAATAATTCACATATTCATGATGAATATATTAACCATTATTTACCCAATTTATTATAAATAATCATGGAAAAACCTTGGAGTGATTTTACATACCTATATGCATACGTTTGAACTAACTGACCTTGATAAACATGCATGCATCTAAATACAGTTTGGTCCAGTTTTTCAAAATGCGATTCTCAATAGTACCTCTAGGTAACAGAAAAGTGAAATAACCTATTCTTATGTCAAATACAACTAATACCACTAATACATACATTGATGAAAATAGAGATGATTAGGTCTACAAATGACAGCCGAAATAATTTACACCTCATTTTGAAGACTTATGCGATAAGACATTGCCTAATTTGTCATTTGACTTCACAACAGCACAGATGATCACACTTTTTTGATACTAATTGGTTCATTCAATATTTTATTTTCATTATTTATATTGTCTAATTTATCAAATCAGTTGCTTCTTTCGAACAAAAGTTTCGTCAAATATAATTTTGTTGAATATTTGATTGTGAATCTTTCTGAACTCGTGCGAGCTAGAAAATACAATTTCGTGAACATTGAAAAGCATTGAAAAACATGAAATAATTTCTGCTAATTCTGGGGCGCATAGTACATTATTACACGAATTATATTACCAATTTTTCAATATGTAACAAATGATTTTGAAACCTCTTCTTCAGAAGGCCAAAAATTGTCATTTATGCATTCATACATCTTCTGTAGTGTAATAACAATCGCATAATGAACACATTGAAATATAATTAAACGTGGTTGAGTTGAAGAATAATATCCCCAAAGCAATATTGTTCTTGAATTCGGAACTATTAAAAACCAACATCTCTATTTGGACCCAAAGTATCATCTTTCTGAAAGACCTATTCATATGTACAATTTACATCAGTTACTACATACATCATCAAAAATGGTGGAATTTTCACAAGACACTATTTTATGGCACTAAATGCTATTTTTGGTATTTTCAGATATTTGGCGTACATGAATGTACCACAAAGAAAAGGAAAAGGAAAAGATAAATTATGTGAAAAATACCACATTCGTTCAGTTATTGGGGATTTCTTCAATATAAAAATGGATAACTGTCATCAAGACAAAACTCTACAAAATGAATATCGACTGTTTGTTGGCTAATTTGTCAGCAAAAAAATGAAGGGGAGTTTGTTTGAATTAATCTCATAAAATTCTTATGTGTGTTAAGAGAAACTTGTTTGAAGATAGAGCATGTGTCGAATGTATTCTAAATGTACAAAAAATCATACAAGAATGCAGGGTAGAAGGAAATAGCGAAATGCATCGAAAAATAAGCAGGTAGGTAACTCTCAAAAAGTTAAAGTTGTCAAAACAAAAGTCAATGTCCCAACCGTCAAAAGTCAATTGCCAACCGTTGTTTGACTAATTGAACAAAATATATTTCATAGAGAAAAACCTCATGAAACAAGTTTATGATTCAATAGAAATTCTGAAACTTCTCGATAGGAAATTATAAAGCATTTAGGTTACATGAGAAATGATTACTTTGCGAAAAAGTGCTCGCTCTAGTCAATGTATGCAAAAATAGAGTAAGATACGGTCCGATAGGTATGTCATTATATAATTGAGATTCATGGTGAAAAACAATGGTATAATTCTTAAAAAAATCAAAATACCAAATAATCTTTAAATCAAAATGCTATCTGAGGGTACCTAATAAATTCTAAAAAAACCTTAACACATTCCCTAGTCACGATATTATCGCTAGTCAAATATATCAATTTATTATTTATCACAATGTTTTGTTTTATCTTGCCTATGTACAATTAATTCTATATTACACATCTCAAGGAGAGAAAATACAATTTTTCTACAATTATTGTTTCAATGAAGATTTGTGAAACTCAAAATATTCGACTTTCAAACATTCCACTCCGAACAAACAAAAAAAAATCATTTTCATTCATTTCTAATATGGATAAAACAATTTTGCCACTATAAGAACTATTATGTTTTGAAGATTTTTCATTTCGATTGTTTCTTCGACCGATGTCGTATAACTTTGTATGAACAGTACTTTAGCATAGTTCCACATATGTTTTGCATAAAACAAAACCGTTATTTGTAACAAATCGTATCAAATTTTATGAATAGGCCCAGTCAAAATGCAAACAGCAAACAAGCAGTGAAAACTCCTATCAATGTGCAAACCAACTTGGACGAACTCGATTCCACTGCGACTGGTTCCTGGATCAATACGGAAGATTGATTCGCAGGCTTAGAATCTTCCATCGTGTTATCATGGTTCATATGATCGTGATCCGTACTCATGTCATCATGGTTGGCTTGCTCCTGATTCACATGCTCTCCTTTGGGTTCTGGTTCAGGTTCTGCCGTCGGTTCCGGTTCAGCCTTAGGTTCAGGTTCAGGCTCAGAGTTGGGTTCAGGTTTTGGCTCGGGTACAGGCTCAGAGTTGGGTTCAGGTTTAGGTTCGGGTTCAGGTACAGGCGTTGTTTCTGGTGCGGGTTCAGATTCGCTTTTACGTTCTGGTAAAGGCTGAGGAATTAAATAGGGATCGTTATCTGATCCAGGCAGAATTTCCGGTTGTGGTAAATCGGCGTTCTCCGTTGTAGTTGTGACGGTGGCATTGGGGTCGACGGTATAGTCATATCCTTGATCGTACATGTAGCTTTTGCCTCCAACGTAAGCAGTTATGAGTCTGAAGTTTGGTTCGTTCAAGTTCAGTTTATCGTAGATGAATCTGTTGAGCCTGTTGACAAGTACAGTTATATTTCCACTCTGATCGAAGGAGAAGGAATTCGGCCACTCCAAGAATCTTGGATCTCTGGCAATGATTCTTTGACGGGTCTGGAAAGGTGTATGAGTGTCCCACTTCGCAATGCTATTCGTACTCAGCAGTGTGTAGTAGAGAATACCTCTGTTATTCATTGTCATACCTGCAACAGATTTTTAATATATTTAACAAACTTCGAGAGACAGTCCTGAATGGAATGATAATGATAAATTCATCCGAATGTTTGTTAATATAGAACTGATTCTGTTATAATGAAAGGAGTAAACAACTTTCTCAGACTTCAATATTTGTTTCCATTTCAAGTAGCTCAAATTTTCCACTATCAATGATGAAGTAAAGCTGATACTTCTGCAATAAATAATGACCTTACTCAGATTGTATACAAGCCAATAAGCATTTCTGACCGAGAGGGAGAATTTACTAGTGTTTTGAATTGTTAACAACCAATTCTGAATTCAACATAGAGCCAATAAAGTGTCCATTGGGCTTATCCGAAAACAGTCCCGATTTTGAGTGAATTACCAATAATTGTGAAAGTAATACAGATTTTTTGAACAGGCTTTCAAGACCTTTTCAGAATTTTTCCATTTCTCCATTTGTTTCACCTCTTTTTTTTTTCAAAAACTACACCTCATGATTTGATCTCCACAAACTTTATTTGAAAAATATATCACAACGTGTTTCGCTAGCACAGTAGCTTTATCAAGTGATCAAGTCATTCAAATCAGGCAATACTGTTCACCCGGAGGATAGTACACCTGGAAGGAAAGGTCACCTTCAACGGAGAAGAGATTCCGTGGATCAACGAAGCGAAATACCAGGTATTAACTCTCGAGAGAAGACTGACGTTCAGGGCCCACGTACGGCAGAGACTAGGGCTGGCAAGAGCCGCCCGGCAAACCTACATCAGATCATAGGTCGCAGAAGCAACATGGGATTCCACGTAAAACTGCTGCTAATCAAGACGGTACTACTCTCAATCATCCTGTATGCCTGGGACCAGTGTGCAGCGACATACAGGCGCAGTATCCAGCAGTATCCACGAAGAACTCAACAGGGAAGACCCAAGATTCGGAGAGGTAGACAAACTCAAGAGGCCAATCAAGCAGAAACAGAGACCATCCCCGTCGCTATCAGGCGGCTCCGATAAGTATAAAACTTTTTAACCAGATTTCAAACTGACTTCTTTTGTAGATCACTGAGAAACACTTGTTCGCGATTTGAAGACACTCGTCTCCGGTTCATTTTTGGGGGCCCCATGCAATAAATTACATTCAAGTAAAGTCACGATTTAATAAAATTCTAGAGTAGAAAGTGAAAGCACCTAAAGGCTGGCTTTCGACCGCAGTAGATCAGATGTCAATCTTGCTGAAGTGCCCATCATAAGAGTGGGGATGGATGGATGGGATAGGATGTTTTGCACACAGTAACCGTGTTGGAAAGATTTCATCTCAGGGCACTCAACCCAAGAGGGGGCATAGGGGGTGGTGGTAATTGCACAATAATTGGATTAATTGGAAAAAACAGAAGTATTACACAGAGAAATGTATTCTCATAAGTAGAAAAATCAGGAAATATTCTTCTGAATTACTATACAGGCTGATTCACGGTAGACGGCACATTAGACATTTCTAGTGAATCAGACACTGGATCAGTCTGAAAATTCAATGGAGAACATATTCGGACATTCTCTACCCAACTAAAATACGGTGTTGCCACTTACATTTGAAAGTAGTAGCAACTTTGATTTTTTCAATAGAACACACTGTATATAATATTATTTTGGGAATCTACAACAATTGCCCCACAACTTTTCTTGATATTTGATGAAGCCTCAATACCCTGAATTTTGTGAAATGTTGTTGATAGGCATTCAAGCTTTTTCGTGTTTTTTTTCTTTAATTAACTCAAACATATAGAGATTGTTTTGAACTGGTATGAATTTCTTGATGTTCATTAGCGGTAGATTCGGATACCTTCCATATAACTTTCTACAAGTTCTGTTGATAATTTCATCACACTGTTCAAAAATAATAAACAAATTCATAAGAACTTCGTTTGAATAGTTTTGTTCCATCGTTTTGAAGGTATTTGAAACTTCTAAAGTGACGAAAATGTCGATGTTATTAGGAGGTTGACAGTTTCACAAATAAATGCTCATAAGTAGGTATAAATATGATAACATAGAAAAAAAAAAACAAATTTTAACAGCTTTCTGAATTTGTAATAATACACAGGGTGCTCCGTTTCAACTAATCAACTTTCAGTCACTTTTTCAAGCAAACGAAAAAACTGTATTTTTTCACCACCCTGTATTGAAGCAGCGGATAGTACGCCAAACTGTGGGAAGTCTCCAAGTATCATCTAACTCCAAACCAAATTTCGATACCATAGTATTCCTCAACTCAAAGATATCAGCATTTTTAGAGGTCATGATTTCCGAAGAAAAATATTGAAATCGAACCATATTTCGAAAACGGTAACAGATAGGTATAAGGAAATATCAAGAAAAGTTGTCGGGTAATTGTTGTAGATTCCAAAAATAATATTATATACAGGAAGTTCCATTTGAAATATCAAAGTTGCTACTACTTTCTAATGAAAGTAGCAACAACGCATTGCCGAAAATATTTTAGTTGGGTAGAGAATGTCCAAATATTGAATTTCAAAAGTGATCCGTTGACAGGTTCACCAAAACGTCCAATGTGCCATCCACCGTGAATCAACCGGTTTAATCACGTGATTGCAGCACCATGTTTAGGTGTATGCTTTTGATACTCACCTACAGTTTGTGATGCCTTCAAACCGAGATCTTTCACTTCACCTTGGTACTCTCCATCGTTCAAGCTATTCATCTCGTTCCGGAGGACGGTTGTATTGATGGAATATAGATGTAAACTTGACACAGGACAGAAAAATACTTCTCTGTCTTCATCTACAATGATTCTGTTGGCACTCTTGTGTATTCTTGGTCCAAGTGCTATGCCAGCGATATTGAGAGGAACATTGATCATGACACCATTCACTTTGAAGGCCGACGCAGTTGGATCTGCCTTCATGGTTTGGGAATGTCGAAGCTTCCAAGAATGATGGTCCTTTACAGAAAAGACAACGATACCTGGAAATTGATAAAGTTTGTTAATTGAGTCACACCTATTCACACATATCACGATATCAGATTTCACCTCACTTGACCTACGAGGAAGACATTTATGTTTGGACAAACCAAAGTCTCTTATCATGTCAAATGAGACAGACATGCGTTGGCGTCATGTAGCCGCACAAGCAATATTAATAATAGTAATTTAATTATTGACTATTGTTACACATCACAAACGTTATTGATGAATATACATGTAACAGTTATACATTGTTTGTATTTCCACCAATACCAATAGAGTCATGAATGAAACATTTAGGTGAATGAATATTGGACAGAAATCAAAATAAGCCCGATAACTGTGTCGAGGAGAGATGATACGTATTAACAAATAAATATTCTGAATTGAAATTCACAAACGATCAGATGAAGACCAGGATGCGATCGCATAATAGTACACATGGGCTGAAAAGTTCCGAGTCTAAGAAAGAAACATTTTTTTTTCCAAATTAGCTTTCTTCATCAATATAATCTCCATCTAGAGCTATACAATTATTCCAGCACCGCTTTAACATTTTAATACCACTTTTGCCTCAAAATAGGCCTCAGTTCTAGCAGTAATCTCTTCAATCGAGCGAAATTTCTTACCGGTGAGCATTTTTTAAGGTCTGCGAACAGCCAGTAGTCGCTAGGATGCAAATCTGGCAAACACGGTGGATGTGGGAGAAATTCAAAGTTCAATTCATGTATTTTTGCCATTGTTTTGATCGACTTGTGACACAGTGTATTGTCTTGATGAAACAACATTTTTTCTTTGCCACACACAGTCGTTTCTTTGCAACTTCGACTTTCAAACGCTCCAATAACATTATATAATATTTACTGTTGATGCTATTTTCCTTCTCATGGTAGGATGAATATTATATCACGCACATCCCAAAATACCAAGGCCATAACCTTTCCAGCGGTTGTTGTGCACCAGTTGCTCTCCACTCAGATGACGATCGTTTTGGTTACGGAGTGAAGAATGATGGATCCACATTGAATTCATATCGATGCATATCGACGCAAAAATTCCGGTTTGTTAAGTTTAAACATGGCCAAACGTTGCTCAGAATCATCAAGACGTTTGTGTTTGTAGTCAACAGTGAGCTCGCGCGGCAAGCACTTTGAACAGAGCTTTCTCATAAACGGCCTACACACGTTACGATTTTTCGTACTGTTTGCAGTACGATATGTATCGGTACTGCCGCAGTAACGATAAATCATAACGTGTGTAGGCAAATTGGGTGATTTGCAGTATGCAGTCGTCGAATCGTTCGCAGTACGGAGCTTCCATAAAATATCGTATCAACGATCGTGTATGGGGTGGGGTTGTAGACAAATTGGAATGCGTGGAGCTTATTGCTGCGACAGTTACGATTTCATATCGTTTAAAGCGAATCATTTAGGGAAAAGGGTTTTATATATTTCATATCATTATAAAGGATATGAAAAGTAAGACGTTCTGGGAAGGTTTTATTACTGTATGTAAAGAAAACAGCTGCCTGTGGGATGTAAAATCAAAAGATTATTCGAATAAAATAAAAAGAAATTCAAGTTACGATATTTCATTTGCAAAATTTGAAGAGTTGTTCCCAAACGAATCTCATGACGTTCTGGGAAGGGTTTATTACTGTATGTAAAGAAAACAGCTGCCTGTGGGATGTAAAGTCAAAAGATTACTCGAATAAAATGAAAAGAAATTCAAGTTACGATATTTCATTTGCAAAATTTGAAGAGTTGTTCCCAAACGAATCTCAAGAAGTAATGAAAAAGAAAATAAACAATATAACAACTTCCTTCAGACGTGACTTTTGAAAGATTGAAATCTAAACCTCGGCAGTACGAGCTGTTGTGAGGTGTGTATGAAAGATGGCTGTACTGCATGCCATACGATTTTCTTTACAATTTACAGTTCAACATGCAGTACGAAAAATCGTAACGTGTGTAGGCCGCTACAGTCAAATGCTCATGCAATATAAAGTCAACACGTTCTTTTGATATCTTCACAATGTCAGCTAATACACGCAACTTCACTTTTTGATCAATAAAAACGATTTTGTGGTTTTTTTCATTGTTTTGTGGTGTTAAAGACTCATTTGGACTTCCACTGCGTTCTGCATCATCGGTGTCTCTACGACCACGTTTGAAATCAGCAAACCAACGTTTAAGTATTGTTTCTGATGGAGTGGATTCTTTATAACACTTTTCAAGCCATTGCTTCGCTTGAACGATGTTTTTCCCATCAAAAAGCAGTGTAACATTAAAAAACGAAATTGTTTTGTCCCGAGATATTTCAGCCCATGTAGTACATACTGGAATTCAAAGAATATACCAGAGCGTTCAAATGTGGTATATATTGATTCAACTGAGAAGGGGTTGTCACAGAATAATCTCGGTCTACAACCCTCCGAACATTCGTCTACTCCCAGAATCTCTGGATGAACTGCTGATGGGAAGCAACATTCCGACAATTGCTGCTGGCGACTTCAATGCCAAGCACAGACCTTGGAGCAGAGCCACAAATCGAAACGGCCAAGCGCTCCATGCGCATGTTGACAGACATGAATATCTCGTGCTGGGACCAGATGAGCCTACGTACTATCGCGGGCAGACTAGGCCTGACGTACTAGACATCGCGCTTCTCAGAAACGTC